ACCCTCTCCTTGTTTAGTAACTACAATCCATTCCTTAAATTGGAAGTAAAATGGTTGCTAAGCAAGCATGTGACACAGAGGGGGGGAGAGAGAGAGAGAGAGAGAGAGAGAGAGAGAGAGAGAGACGCTGCGAAGATCCCTGGTTGCTTCCGTCTCATTTAAATAAAGTTCTCTTGTATAGCTATGCCAGCATTACTCTCACTCTGGCGTGCATTGTTAGGTGCACAAAATTAAATCATAAGTGCATGCATTGGTCAGAAAATGATTTTTTAAAATTACCATTGTATTTCCAAATGGTCATTAAGTGAGGTAGCTATTAAATGAGGAGTGGCTGTAGATAGTGGTGTAAAATGTATAGGTTGTATTTTTTTAAATTACCCTACAAAAGATTAATCGTGCATTAAAATTAACCTTTCAGTATTACAAAGAAGATGGTGTAATTCTATAGTTATGAAAAGCTTTACTTTTTAAACTGTAAAGTTTAAACTTCTACATGGATTGTAGAAAGTCGCTAGTATGTGGGTGTCATATATGTTCGTATATTAAATGGTCTTTAATGAGTATAATAATCTGGAAGTAGTTACAAAAAATGCATCTCACTTTAATGTTGTTGTTTTTTTTAACAAAAACATTCAGGCCTCCATGAGTTTGATGCCCTACAGGATCCAGAAATTAAAGAATTCCGGATTAAGATACGACAAATCAGTGAAGAGAAAATGCAATCACTGGTGGGGTTATCTTCAATGGATTGGTTAAAGCACACACATCCTCCAGAATTAGAACCAGCAATCCAGGACAACATCCAGGATAAACTTTACGGTGGCAATCTTGTTGTGGCTGTTCATTTTGATAACTGTCAGGTAGGATTCTTAATCTAATTCACAAACATTTCTACCCTTTAAATAATTTTCACTAGATGCAAAGGATTTAATGGACACACATTATATTTCTGAAACAGTGGCCCCTTTACTGCATTATCCTTCAGAGGCAGCTGTTTTTTAGAACCAAGAGCAGTTTTAAGATCTAATTATGATATGGCACTGCAGTTGGTGGAGAACAAACATGAAAAGTTCTATGAGTGAGTGCAACCTTAGGTGTTACATTTATGTATTTTACATGTTGTAAGCCACCCAGAATCTTGGGTGCCCTCAATATCCAATAATTTAAATTAAATTAAATTAAATTACATGGGTGATTTTTGGATCCCACTCCTTTCATCTCCTTGTTCTTAAAGAAACAAAAAAATAACACCCTTATCTGGTACCTTCTGAATTAACTGTTAAATTTCACAATTTAAGTTGGAACATGCTTTAAGCATTTTAACTTAAAGTATGAACTTACAATACAAACCTATTTTTTCTGAACTTGTGAAGCAAGTATGGCATTTTAAATGTGAATAAAGTAGGTGGCATAGCAGAACTTAATTACGTTTTCAAAAGATCCATATGTTTATCTCTACTTGTTGTTCTCCTACTGGAGATTGTTTCTTTCAATTCTAAACCCACTCACTCATTCATATTAACATAGCTGCAGTGAAGACCTTTCCAGTTAAAACAGCAGGAGTTTCAAAATGAAAGACAGCATCCATTTATAGGTTAAATAATTGCTGACAACAATTGTTTTGCTTTTATATGCATAAAATTAAAAACAAATAGATATACTACACTGGTCTAAGAGTAACCTTATATTATTTTTCTGAGTTCTTCAAATTAATTAATATGTTATTTATAAACTTGCCTGAATCCTGTGCTTCGGATTCCCCATGTCTTTTTCTTTACAAATAAATAAATCTGGTGCATAGGGAAACCAGCTAAGGGTATATTAACTCTTTCTTGCCATGGTATTTTCTGGCTTAGATTTCCATCTCAGCTGCTATCTGCAGGAAATCATAATTTATGATGCAAATGAGTTCATCAACTGGGACAATAGCATTTTTAGAAAATTTAATTACAATCCCATATCTCCCATAAATCCTATTAATATTTACATTGGATTTTGTTCATCAGTGTGTAATATTTAAACTCCTAAGAAACGTCAACCCTATATAAAAAATAAAAAAGCTAGTGACTTTTGGGAAGATTTGCTATTTCAGTTTAGGTCCTGTGCTTTGGCAGTAACTTCAGAGAACGTAACAGTTTTGAGACAAATACATTTTGAAACTAAGAAAATATTGAATTGATTTTGACTGACTTCTTCATTATGGCTATGATACTCCATTGTGAGGTTTGGCTGGTTACCAGAAAGCTGCTACATAAATAAGCTTCCAGACAAAAAAATAATAATCATGAAATGAAATGAAATGAAAACTGAGCTATGATTTACATTTGTCAATAATTGCTTTTGAATCCTTACATTTTTCTGGAGCATTTGAAAAATGAAAGCTCCATATGTTCCTTTATAAAACCATTTTGTGAATGATGGAATAGACACTGCTAGGAGGATTCTTAGAAGGAAAAATATTTTCTTGCTTAATTTCAGTGGTATAGTATGGGTATATGTCCTTGCCAATTTTGAAGTGTCTGGATGAATCAGCATTTGAACTCTGAAATACCTTTAAGAAAAATACTTTTAACATTTACTTTTCACAGGAAATTATTTTTAAATACTAAAACATGATGCTTTTGATTATTTAATTTCAGTTTTCTTCTCTGTAGCATCATTCTGTGGGACATTTGTTTACTCTCGTTCCCATTTGCAGCATAATAGCCCTGTATTAATATTATCGCATAGGATTAATATCCAGTAAGGCTATGATATGCACAGAGGGTAGAATATTTTCACACATTTGCTGTGTTTAATAAGTAGTACCTTTGCTTTCTGTGATAAGGCATTTCTTTAAACTTTATTAGCTTAGCATACTTCAGTGTGCTATAAACCTTTTAGAATCATTTGTTATAAAAATGTGATACGTTTTCCTTGCCACAATAGCACATCATTAGTATAAGCATATATAAATAAATCATTTTGTTTCAACTCTCTGAGTGGTCTTTATTAGTGGGCAGGTATTTATAAATTAATTTAATACTTTTTAAAAGAAAAGAAAAAGATCTTAGTGATAACTGGGAAAAGTCTAGAGTGGATTATAAAGAGATTGAACTGAAAGCACCATGGAAACAAAGTTACAATGCAGTAATTACCTGAAGTTAAGATTTTATCTTTTTTTCCCAGAACAACCTTTATTTCATGATTTGATTTGCTAATTTCCTTAGTAGACTGTGGGAATGCAGTAGATATATCTTGACTTCAGCAAAATATATGATAAAGCACCCTGTGACATTTTTATTAGCAAAGTAGTTAATGATAGCGTTGTGGAAGACACACTTAACTGGATATGTAGATGATTTCAAAATCATTCAAAGAGAGCTCAAAGATGTTCCTCATCAAACAGGAATGAATATCAAATGGAGTACCATAAGATTCACTCCTGGACCATCTACTTTTCAACATTTTTACTAGTGGCTTTGAAGAACAGGTGGAGGGTAGCTTATAATATGATACAACATTGTGTGAAATACTGTAGCTAATACCTTAGAAGACAAAAATAAAATTCAAATTAATCTTAGGTTTGGGAAATGAGCTAAAAGAACAGTAAAATTTAACATGGGCAAATTCAAAGTTCTTTACTTAGGAAACAAAAATTAAATGCATAGGTACAAGATGGGGGATAACTGGCGTGGTAATGATACATTAAGGTCTTGAAGTGATAATTGAGCACAAAATCTAGTCAGCAGTGTAAACCAGTTGCAAAAAAGCCAGTTTACTTTATTGTCAAAGGACCATATCAAATAAAATAGGATAATACAGCATATTGAAATGTGTAAAAATATTTGGTGAAATAATCAGATAAAATCATCTCCTTGGCAGTTGACCCCAACCTGATCTAGATAGGAAGTTGGATGGCTTTAGCTATCAACTTGGCAGTCTTTCTTACTGCCCATGTGTTTGTACCTTGGAGAAGGTAAGATCACTTGTTGATGGGTTCCCAGTGGGCTGTCCTATCAATCAGTAACTTTAAATGTTGTGCTCTAGCTAAAGCATATAGTTGGCAGTCAGAGGATATGACTGATGTCCTCTATTTGTGGTGTGCCACATATACATATCCTCTCTGGATAGGAAACTTTATGAAATCTTCCATGTTTTACCATAGAATCCAGGAACTCAAATCTTCCTCTGATTAGGGCTGTTCTTTGGCCCTATGTCAAACCCGTAGTTAGATATTTTTCTAGTTGAAAGGTCTTTTTGACCCAGCCATTTTAAGGATTTGATATTAGCAAGTGTTTCTAAATCAACTTGAGCACTAATATCCAGGACCTTCTGTTTGAACGTGTCTTTGGCTTGGTGGCTGACTGAGGTTAAATATGGAAGTGAAAATCCATGGTAAACTGATTTAGCCATGTGACAGGATGAGATATGCCAGACTGTTCAATGAGACACTTTTTTGGTAGTCTATCCTGGTCCATTGAAAGTATCTTCCACCAATAGTTGGAAGCTCAAATTATTATAGAGCTGTAGATGGAGTGGATGCCTGTTTCAGCTCTAACTGTAGAGGCTGGAGTGCTTTTGTCTGTTCCCAGAATGGATCTTAGAAAGCAGGTCTGGGTTTGTTCCAGTAATGATGACTGTGATAGACTACACAGTTCTGCACCATAGATCATTATAGATGTTACTTTAGCCTTAATATAGAAAGCAGGGTACCTTCTCAGCCTTTTGGCTAAGATCAAGTATAGTATCACAAAAAAAAGGCAAATTCAATTTTAGACTTCATTAGCAGAAGTAATTCCAAATAATGCAAGCTGCTAGCTCCACCATGTTCTGAGTTGACCCTACCTTTATTATGATGTTCAGTTTTGGGCACCACACTAAGGAGTCCAACAAACTGAAATAAATTCAGAGAAGGACAATGAGAATGAACAGAGAACAGAAATTAAAGTTCTCTGAATAGAGATTGAGGAAAATTTCCAGATTACCATGGGAAGAGAAGATTTAGGGGACAGGTGAGTGATAAGTTAGCACTCATCAAATACTTGAAGGGATGTCACACAGAAGATTAAATCCTTCTTTGAATACATTCTTGCAGAGACTACACAGCCATCTTTATGGGATGCTTTTAATTTAAATTGCTGAACTGAGCAGGACGTTGGCATAAGTAGTGTCTTCCACCTCTATGATTCTCTGATTCTACGAAACAAAGAAATGGATAAATAGAGTTTTCTATATGATACAACATTTTGAACTAGCTGTAATACAACATAAAACAATTCCAGCAATACCACTAGTTATCAGTGATTTAACTTGTCAAAGTAAATTGTGTCAGTCAAAAGTAACTTTGTTGAAAAATATTTATAAATCCAAGTCATTCTTCTATTAATTATCCAGTGTCTATTCACTTAACACAGAAAGATACCTTAAAAATAATTATAACTTCATAAGCAAATAAATCACTTTTAATGCTTGATAATAATAAATGTTGTCTCTTAATAGGATGTATTTAGTTTTCAAGTGTCTCCTAATATTAACCCTGTTAAGTTGAATGAGTTGGCAATTCGGAAACGGTTGACTATCCATGGAAAAGAAGATGAAGAAGCTAAACCTTGTGATTATGTATTACAAGTTAATGGAAGACTGGAATATGTTTTTGGGGATCATCCATTAATTCAATTCCAGGTAGCCATTCTTACAAAATAATATGCTAATTTAGGACTTGGAAAAACAAATTGTATATGAAGTGCTGACTTAAATTGTTTGTGAATAGTATTCTTGAACTTTTCTTTTTAATATTAGCTTATTTGGTAATGCCAGTACACGTGGACTTAGAGAGAAAGAATTTCATATAAGAATTATGGGTGCCTAGCAGTCATATCACCAAGAAATATATAGTATTATACATACCCCAATCAATATTTTTAAAACTTAAATCAGGAGAAATGCAAGCAGATTTTTCAGTTGCAAGTTTGGATGTGTTGCTTAACCGGTAATTAATAAAGGCATATTTTTTTCCAATTGACTCTTCTTTTCTGAAGTTCTTTCACCCTGATTATAGTATGTTTTAAATTAGGAATGCATACTGTGCTTTTGACAGTATGCTTGTGACTGCACTCCAAACAGTGAGCAAAATAAAAAGTATGCAGAATGGGGGCAGGGTGTGTGGAGCTGCTAATAATAATTTATTTAATTTATTTGCTGCCCGACTAATAATAATAATTTATAAAATTCATATGCTGCCCGACTCCCAGCAACTCTGGGCAGCTAAATGCGATTTTAAAATGTGTATAATTTATTACATTATGTAAATTAACGTTTTATTAAGATTAAGTTAATTAAGTACAGTTAATTAAATTAAGTCCTCTGTATTGAATAATTCCCCACTTCCATTACAACTTTTACAGGGGTCACATTCTATGCTCTGGAGGGAACGCATACTACCCTTGGGCCTCTGCACATTCCTGTTTGAAATACTCCATGTAATTTTGAACATGCAAATAATTATATAATTTCCTTTTTCAGTATATCCATCGTTGTGTAATAAATAGAACTCTTCCTCAGCTGACACTTATTGAATGCAGCACCATTAAAAAAATGTATGAACAGGAAATGATTGCTATAGAAGCAGCAGTAACTCAAAAATCAAGCAATCTTCCTCTTCCTCTACCACCCAAAAAATCACGTGTGAGTTTTTACGTATATATGTGAACAGGAAGTTACTGTTTGGGGGCTGTTATTGCTTTAAACCTGAGGGAAAGAATTCATTTTAAGATTAATAATATTACATGCAGAGAATGCTACCCAGGGTTTTTCAAATGGCAGTACCGCAACACCTTAAAATGATAAAATATATTTGTGTCCCTCATGAATGAGTAAAACTAAATCATAAATAATAAGTGAATACAAACTAAATCATAAATAATAAATGAATACAAAGCTACTGTAGCTGTCAGATAGTTTTGAGATGATGGCTATACTCATGGTTTAGCCAAGGCTCAGAAGTCATTCAGGACTTTGCTCTCTGCTTTGCTAGCACAAGCCCACCTTAGGCTTGTTCAGGTAAGACTAGTGAGTTTAGACAGCACTCCCACTTTGCCCTCACAAACCTGATCATCTTTTTTTAAAAAATTGCAAAGGCCCCAACCCATAATTTAAGAACTTTTGCAGTAAGCAGAATTTGTGACTTAAACCAATTGTGCCTTCAAATTAATGTTTCTGTTCTAATCTGCTTAAATGCTATTTACCAAAGAGAAATCATTCTGAAAAGAATCCCAGCAGATAGTTTGCATTCACTTCTCCTGTTATTGAATAGGAGGGATAAATTATTGCACTAATGCCAGACCTCTTTCTAGGCCCCTAAGATAAATGATCTCTGATTGGGCTTATAGCCTGCAGATTTTCTGCAGTCACACAGGGCTTCCAAAGTGGATCTTCCTTCTCTTATGCCTGGATCTCCTACCCACTGTTGGACAGGCACTCCCATTCTATCCAAAACCACTCCAGCCAGAGGCTCTGCAAGTTAGAATTGCACTATTGGCTTAGTGATTATGAAATGTGTATGTATGTATGTATTGCTCAAGGAGAATGAAAATCACAGTATTGTTTTCTTTATAAAACAGTTGACTCAAAGTGTCTGGGAGTTTAGCCACCCTTTCAAAGTTTTGCTAGTAAATGGCACTAAATTGAACACAGAAGAAACTGCCAAAGTAAGTAAATATTTTCCAGTATGAGAGATACTTCACTTGTTCAGCCCAGTACCTTTTGTATGTTATGATCATACTTGATTTCATTTAATTTATGGGTATAGTTATCAGATATAACTCATCAACATATTATTTGATATTTAATGTTCTGTGTTACTTAGTTTATAAAATACCGACAATTCAAATTGAGCTATACGTAACCATTCTTTTCCGTGGTCAGTATAAAAGGAAATGAACCATCATTTCCTGTGAAACTTTAAAAAAAACCCTCCTTTTAAAATACACTGTTTTAGTGTTAAATGGCATTATATTAATGTTCAGTAGCTTAGAGACAAATTGCTTTGAACAATATAAATAGAGTAATGCTCAAATACAACATACAAATGTTTTCTTGTATTTAAACTGCTACAAAGCCATATAGGACACATTTTTGTTGTGTGCTTATTAATTGATGTTTGTAACTCTGCTCTAACAATTTATTTGAGTAGTTACAGAACAGTTACTTTTTAATGCATTCTGGTGCTCCTTGATCTCTCAGTGGCTTTCGATAGTGTTCACCGTGGTAACCTTCCGAGGCGGCTCTGTGGGCCAGGGATTGGGGGGACCATTCCTGGGCTGGTTCTTAAACTGGGGACTATCTGTACCACAAATCACAGAGTTCATTTATATATTGATAAAGAAAAAAATGTACAATTTTAGAAATATCTCTATTCTATCAGAACTTTTCAAAGTGTAATTCCATTACAGTAAAGTACATATTAGCGAGACGTACTGAGAAGCTTTTGAAATTACTGAGTATATTTATAATTTATACCCAGTTCGTTTCCTGGTAGTGATAATGCAGGCAGAGATGGAAAGTTCATCTTAAATCATTATTGTTTTAGAAATGTAAGTTAACGGTTACATAAAATAAATTCGTTTTGTTACAGTAAAACTGATTAAGCTTTATTGCATATAGATAGCTTAAATATAATCTCTAGCACACAGTAGTGTCATTAAGAGCAATTGCTCTAAAGTCATTTTTTCATTTTTTTTTTAACTACAGAGTGCTTGCATTTTAATCATCCTTGTTATTTGTTTAGTTGATACAATATTTTTAAATACTTTTCTATCATGTATATCTTGCAGGTTCATATCAGGGCTGGCCTCTTCCATGGAAATGAACTCCTTTGTAAACCTATTGTAAGCTCAGAAATATCTGGGAGAAATGACCATATTTGGAATGAACCCTTGGAATTTGACATCAATGTCTGTGACTTGCCGAGAATGGCTAGATTGTGCTTTGTGGTTTATGCTGTTATGGATAAAATGAAAAATAAAAAGTCAGCCAAGACACTGAATCCATCCAAATACCAGACCATGAGGAAAGCTGGGAAAGTGGTAATGAGTTCATTTAATTTCTTCTTTACATTCCTGTTCACAGCAGGGGATGCTACTTCATGTATATGTGTATGGCTGCAGATACTTCAGGTTCTTTCTTCCCTCCGGTTTTTGAATTAGTTAAACATATACAAAGATATTTAAACACTTGAAAAGTTATTTCGGATCAGCCATTGTTTCTTTCAACCTAGTCTACCTCACAGATAAAATGCAGGGAGAATCTCCCCATATGCAGTGAAGGGAACCCTCAAAGGAAAGGTAGGATGTAGAGGTAGTCCTTGATCTATGACCATTTGGTCAGCGACTATTCCAAATTACAGCGGTGCTGAATGAATGGTGGTTACAACTGATACTTGGAGTTCCAGATGTCCCAGTGTTCCTGTGATCACGTGATTGCGATCTGGGTGCTTGGCAACCCATTCACTCTTACAACCATTCTGGAGAAGCCGACAGGGAAGGTTGCAAATGGCAATCATGGGATCGTAGGGTG